TTCTATACCAAATTTTAAAATTGGGTTGTTTGTTTTCTTAATTTTCATTTTTTTAAGTTTTACATATATCCTAAATACTAACCTACTATCAGATATGTATTTGATAAAGATCTTATCTGAATATGTAGAGTGCCTCTTTATATGGGTACTGGTGTGCTTTGCCACACAGTATTTTGAGCTCCATGAGGTCCCATTTTTCAATCATTGGTCTGAGTTCTTGTGCTATTAAATTACTGATTAGAAAATATTTTCAATGCTAATGAGTTCAAATCAATTCCCCATTTTCTATTTTATCAGATTCACTGTGTCTGGCCTTATGTTGGGGTCTTTGGTTCACTTTCAGTGGAGTTTTTGCAGGGTCTTAAACACAGATCTGCTTGCATTCTTCTAATGCAATCAAGCAGTTTGATGAGCACCACTGATGAAAACGCTCTCTACTCCAGTGTGAATTCTTTGCTTTTTTTTTTTGTTAGAAATGAGATGTTCATAGAAGTGTGGACTTAATTCTAAGTCTTCAGTTCAATCCCATTGGTCAATGTGTCTGTTTTTATGACAATCATGGTGTTTTTATTACTATAGATCTTTGTACAACTTAAATACTAGGATGGTAATAGATACCTCTAGTACTTCTTTTATTATTCACAATGTTTTAGTTGTTGTGTGTATGTGTGTTAGTTTGGATGTAATTGGCCTCCATAAGCTCACCAGGAGTGGCATTATTAGGAGGTGTGGTTTTGTTGAAGGCAGTGTGTCACTGTCTCCTATGCCAAAGCTATGCCCAGGTCTCAGACAACTTCCTATTGCCTGTAGAACAAGATGTAGTATTCTCAGCTCTTTTCCAGCACATGTCTGCATTCATGCCACCCACCATGATGATAATGGTCTGAACCTCTGAACCTAGAAAGCATTCCAATTAAATGTTTTCCTAAATAAGATTTGCCATAGTCATGCCGTCTTTTCAATAAACCCCAAGACACTATGTATCTGTGTATGTGTCTGTGTCTCCATAAGATGTTGAAAGTTGTTTTTTGTTGTTTAATTTTTGTGCAGACATGTGTTGGACATTTTTTTTTTGGTTTTTCGAGACAGGGTTTCTCTGTGTAGCTTTGTGCCTTTCCTGGGACTCACGTGGTAGCCCAGGCTGGCCTCGAACTCACAGAGATCCGCCTGGCTCTGCCTCCCGAGTGCTGGGATTAAAGGCATGCGCCATCACTGCCCGGCGTGTTGGACATTTTTTAATGGGTATTGCCCTGAATCTGTAGCTTTAGTGGCAGGGAAGTTTTCACAATAATAATCCTTCTAATCATAGAGCATCCCATCTCTGGTATAGTTCTCAATGCCTTTCTTCAATGTCATAAAGTTGTTTTAGTTTTCAAAATACAAATTATTTACTTGTCTGGTTAGAATTATCACAAGATTAAAAATTTATCTTTGCAGTCATTGTCTAGCAGTCATTTCAGAAGGAGTACTTAGAAAAATGTATTTAAATCCAATTTACAATGCAAAGGAATATGAAAGCATTAAGAAGGACATTTCTTGTATCAGTTAAGACTTTGAAAATATAAAACAATTCTTGGTAAACCCAAAGCCTTGTCCTAATGCACCATTTTAGTGTTTTAATATCTGTGCACTTCACCTTTCTAGAAGTAATTCATTTTTAATAAGGAAAATCCCATCTGGTCTCTTAGTTTGACAATTATGAATGAGACTTTTCTTAATTATTTTACTCAGAAGTAAAGCTATAGAACTGCAAAGATATTTCATTGGGTTAAAAAACCTGACACCCAGGCTGACAAGCTGAACTGACCTGTGCAGCCAATGTAGAGACAAGAATGAAATGACTCATGAAAGTTGTCCTCTTACCTCCAACTCCATGCAGTGACACGAGATGGAGACCACAGGGGCACACAGATAAAATTTCCAAATACAATAAAGTTTTATAAAGAAAGAGATGAATTGTATATACCATAACAAACAAGAAAACAACCCAAGAATCACTAGAAATAATAAAATATTTCTTGAAGTTCATGCAGATTTGTGAACTCCATGAACCTCACGGAGCAGAGAAAAAAGAGGACCACTAGCTCCAGTCTCATAAATCTCCTCAGTTCCCAAGATGTTATCTCTAGCTATCCCCTAAATTAAAATATTCCTTGACGAGTGCATGGAAATAGTGAATTCACTACAATACAATAAAAGAATATACATAATTATTCAGGCATTGGTAACGGCTTTCTGTGGAGACGTGTCATTGTGGTACCACCAACCCCAAGGATTTTCCTTGAGTTCTTACCAACTCAATTTACACAATTTCTTGTTTCAAGAACACAACACTCTATTTTGATCAATCACAAGACATATTCCTGGGGGGCAGGACCTAGTGCAGCTTTCTGAATTAGGATTTCACTGTGCTATGTACTATGATGCATTGAGAGGGACAGAACAGTAGAGCAAGTGGGTACAACACTATTCTAAAGGAAACCAGACCAGGCACCCAAAGAGGTATTTTGATGTAAACTGTCTGTAGAGGCAGCACAAACTCAATGATGGCAGATCTATGGAGTTCTAGAGTTGCATCTATTAATCATTTGAATGAAAATGGTTCCCATGGGCACAAATGTTTGAATATTTATTCTCCATTTGGTTGAACTCTTTAAGAAGGGTTATGAGATGCAGCCCTGTTGAAGGAGTTGTGTTACTGGCAGTAGGCTCTGAGGTTTCAAAAGGTTTAGTCATTTTCAGTGTCCTCTCAGTCTCCTGCTTCTGGATCCAGATATGAGCTCTCAGCTGTCCTGTCTGCATGCCTTTGTTTCACAACAACAAACTTTAATACTCTGTAACTCTAAGCCCAGTTAAATGCTTTCTTTGAGATATTGTCTTGGTCATGGTATTTTGACTCAGCAAAAAAATAAATAAATAACTAAGAAGGAAGGTGCTACCAAGGAGTGGGCTATTGCTATGACAGGCTTGCCTATGTTGTTTTTAGAGAAATGTGAATGACATTGGGGTTTTAAATGAGAAGATAGGATGAATGCTATAACTAGGATTTAATGGCCTATCCTCATAGCAGCTAGGAAGACATTGCAGAGAACCATATGTAGGTTGGAGGCCCAAACAAAGATACTGATCTACCATTATGAAAACAGCTCTCTGAAATCATAATTCCAATTAATCACATCTTTTATAAATTGTCTTGAGCATCATGTCTTGTGACAGCAATAGGAAAGTAACTGATACACATGGGCTGGGTGCAACATTCTTGTACTACAATAGAAACAAAGTACTTCTACAAAAGTAGGTAAATGGAAATACATGGCTGTGAAAATTGTTCCACTTAGATGTCATTATTGCTTTTTTTTTGTTTTGTGTTGCTATAGAATACCTGAGACAGGATCACTCCTAAAAACTAAATTATTTGTTTTTTTCTACTTCTTCCTTTCTTCTTCCCTCCTGATTTCCTTTCTTCTTTCTTTCTTCTTCCCTTCCTTTCTCCTCCTCCTCTTCCTTCTTTGCCAGGGTGTTGTCCCAGTATAATACAAACAAAGCATACTATGAGCATGTGATGCCCCAGTTGGTGTCCCCGTCCTATATATTCCCCCACATGCTCTGGAATGAAATTGAGCTGACTCTCAGAGGTTCTTTCCTAATACTCTAGCCATTCAAACCCTACTCAGTGATTCTGGTCCATTTCTCCCTGTATCCTGTTGGCCAATGGGCTATGAGAAAAAAGGAGACCCCATAGCTGGCATCCACTGAACAGGAACTTCTAGAATGCATAGTTTGTTAGTACCCTCCTGACACCTGGCAGAAGGTAGTGATGTATTTTGCCTGACCATTCAAGTTCAAGCACAGTCATCTCTCTTCCTCTCTTGTTTTACTTTCAGTTTGTACCCTTGTGAGGACTGGATACAGTTTGTGGGCAATTGAAACAAACCAGGATGGAAAGCTACATTTTCATCATCTTTACATGTACATATGAAAACATGCCCTAAATTGAGGATTATGGTCCTTTCAGAAGCCAAAGGTTTCTAATAAATAGCCCATTACCAGATGTAGGATATCTACACTCAGATTGTTCACCAGAGTTGTCCTGAAGAACACCTAAAACTACAGGAGTCTACCATTGCTCTAGGTTACTAAGCAGAACCTGAGGGTAAGATCCTATAGCAGAAGATACTAAACACATTGGTTATAGGCTGTGTCAACATTGTACTGACCAGGAAACTTTCTTCTTGATGACAATCTTTTATAGTACTGGAAGGTGGTTGAGCAGATGCTTTAGGGGGAAAGAAATCAACAGTCTTTCTTACACAGCAGTGAATCCCATAAACTCCCATAATAACCATCATGGCAAGATTAGGGTGTATATAGGAGATAATGGCATGAATATTATGGGGGTAGTCAGCCACTTTCTATTTGGATTTAACTCCATCAAATGGGAGGAAACACATGGTTATTCTCTAGCCAAGGAGCCATGGTTGAGGAGCTCACAGACACAAGAAATGGACCTATTGTTCTGATAAATGGTCTTATATCCAACTGCCTTCTAAATTAGCACGTTTAACCAATATGTTAATATAGCCCTCAGATATAATCAAAGAAATTTCTTTTTGAAGTGGATAGTGGTTAACAAAGAAGTCGACAATCCATCAAAGTGCAAAGAATAATTGTTAGTGGAATGCTCACCCATAAATGGGAAATTAAAGATTCTATAATGGAAACAATATTGACAAAATTAAGGAGAAATCTTTTATCAGCATTGCAATGAAAGATATTGTTCTATCTTTGGGAAAATGGGCAAATTTTGACATGAGATAGCATAAAGATTGCTAAATAATTATTTTCAGTCCATACACAAAATCAAGACAATAAAAATAATTGAAGATTGTGTCATGAAGTATAATAGATTAAAGTCATATTCATGTAGGTTTCCAGATTAAATTAAAATCCAGGTATTTAGAATGAACTCTTTGAAGAACATATCAGAACTTGAGATAAAATCAACCTTTATTTATGGCCCCATTTCTTGATATAATCTTCAGGACAATAGGCTTTTCTGGAGCATGAATCATTTTCTTACCTAATTTCAAGGGAACCTGAAATAGTTGAATAAATACATTGATGAGTTAAATAAATCATCAATTACACAGAAGGCTGGTAGAACCAATATATTAAGAACAATAGCTGTTTCTTCCTCTGTTGTCACATGGCTGTGACCATAGCATTCAGAAGTAAGAGGGCAGAGAAATACATGGCTAAGACTTGCTTGGTTACATAGCATGTTCCGTACCATCTTGAACAATATGGATTGCTTTCTAGAAATAAATAAATTCATCTTTATAAGTGAATAAAAGACTTTTTAACATTGTGATGTTTTCAAAGACAATGGCTCCCAAAGACAGTGGTACTATTAGGATATATGGTCCTGTTGGAGTAGATGTGGTCTTATAGGAAGTGTGTCACTATGGAGGTAGACCTTAAGTTCTCATATGATAAACCCATGTCCAGTGTCTCAGGCCACTTCCTGTTGCTTTTGTTTACAGATAAAGAATTCCCCAGTACCATGTCTGCCTCCAGGCCACTGTGCTCTCTGTCATGATGATAATGGACTAAACCTCTGAAACTGCAAGGTGTCACATCAATAAAAATGTTTTCCTTTGTAGGAGTTGCTATTGTCATGGTGTCTCTTCATTACAATAGAAACCCCAACTAAGACAAACACCAAAAGCCATGAATTGCTTACATAGAATATGAAAACATGCTTCAATCTATTCATACTTCAACATACTTATGGAGCACCTAATCTGTAAATGGCCTGAGACAAAATTGAGATGGTTGTTTTCTTTATTGTTCTAAATTTTAACTGAAAATTAGAAGTTTGAAATTTGTAAAGAACACTTGTGAACACATAGCAAACAGATTTTAAAGGGTGATATAAAGTTAATTTTCATTTTGTAAAGCTGGAAAGAAAACCACGAGTAGGTTTGGTACATGGTAATACTATCACAATGCATTTACTTTCCAATCTGATACATGAGGGTTCATGAATGGGTAGGGGGACTTTGGGTACCACCATGGCATTAATCCTCTCTATCTCTTCTAAAATTCTAAGATGGTGCTAAAAGAGGAATTTGCACTCATTTTGACTAATTTTTTAAATGACATTCTTGTCAGTTTGTGAAAGTAATAATCATGTATCAGCAGAAGAATGTGAAATTGTTGTCTCATAGTTTGAGAGAGGCCATCTTGTAGGTAGTTTGAGCTTGTTAAAGATTGTCAGATACCTACAGATTGACTATCATCAAAACAAAGTTACTCAACTGTATTGAAGTACAGAGCAGGAGGACAGTTGACCTAAAGTCACTAAAGAATAATGACCACATAATATTCTTCTTTCAATATTCTCAGAAAGACTTACTGAGTCATATTTAATACAAAGGTCACGAAATTAAACTTGTTGGGTATTGCTTCATTTAAGGTAATGACAACATATTCTTAAGTTCTTCAGAGGAGATCTTTCCAAACATGTTTCTAAATGTGACACGTTATATTAACAGTGTACACAGAGGGGGCTGAGGATTTGTAAGGCTAGACATGGTCACAGACTTCAAGGAAACAGTATTTTCTAGATAGACAAGGGCAGATGCACATATAAACTTACAATGCTGTGGCAGCATGCACAAGACATGTAATATGTGCAAACTCAATCTGAAATTGTGTGTGTGTGTGTGTGTGTGTGTGTGTGTGTGTGTGTGTGTGTGTGTAGAAACATAGTCCCACCTGTGGCTGAGGAGCTTTAATGTTTGATAGTTGCTGTGAAATGTAGTTTTTTTTTAATTAATGCTGTGAACTCTCTTAAATAAACCAGATTCCAGACCAGGCAAAACACATAAGAGCTGTCATGCCACAGAAACTGGACTTGATTGACTTAAAAATTAGAGAGAAAAAAGGAAAAAGAATACATTGAGTGTGAGGGGAGGTGGGGATGGATCTGAGATAAACTGTGATGAACAGGTGAATGTGATCAAAATGCATTATATGAATTCTCAAAGGATTAATAACAATGTTTAAAAGTATACATAAAGAAATGCATGTATAAAAATAATTTTGTCAGTTTTTAGTAATTAAAATGGTTCAAAATGTTTAATGTATTTATTGCAGGATTTTAATATAAAAATGTCGTCCAAGACACCAGTTTAATTTCTGGAGAGAATAAAATTAGGTAATTTAGAAATTAGGGGATGAACAAAGATAAAATAACAGCGGGAATTACATGGGGTAGTTCATAGGTTTGGGGGTTGGTGAACAGTGGCAGAAAGAAGGAGTAGAAAACAGGAGTAAATTGCACCAAGAAAATCTAGTGAAGGTTCTTGGCTTGGAGGGGACTTGATTGATATGAACTTGTAGGATAAGAAATAAAAATGAATAAAGAAGGGAAGAAACAGATGGATTCATAAGAATGTATGTATATGCCTGCTAGTCTAGACCTAAGTTCCTAAAATGTGAGGACAAGTGCATAAAGTGATCATTACACCTCCAAGAGACAAAACATGTACATGTAAGTAGGTAAATTGAAATACAATTTAAAAATCAGTTTCATGATTTTAAGAGCCAGGAAGGTTCATAAAATGGCCAAAAAAGAAGTCCTTCATATCCATGAAAAAGGATTTAATGCAGTGATTTTTGTCTGTGTCTATAAATTGGAACCACTGTAGAATGTTTAAAGCCACTTTGGTGGGTGAAACATTTGGGACATTTTGAGATCACACAGGGATCATAAAGTGATCATTACACCTCCAAGAGACAAAACATGTACATGTATGTAGGTAAATTGAAATACAATTTAAAAATCAGTTTCATGATTTTAAGAGCCAGGAAGGTTCAGGATACAAGGAGAACATGGCCCACAGAATCAACTAAGCAGAGCTCATAGGGACTCAGAGAATTAAGCAGCAATAATGGAGCCTACATGGGTCTATGCAAGGCCTGCTGCATACATGCTGTGGTTGTTTAGCTTGGGGTTTTTGTAGGAATCCTAACAGTGGGAGTAGGGGTATCTCTGACTCCTTTGCCTGCTCATGGGAACCTTTCCTTCTAATAGGTTGTCTAATCCAGCCTTGATATGAGCATTTATGCCCAGTTTTATTGCATATTTTATGCCACGTTTGTTTGATATCCCTGGGAGGCCTGGTATTTCCACATGGGAATTGGAAGAGCAGTGAATCTGGGAGATAGAGGAGTTTGAGGGGGCACTGGGATGAGGGGAGGAAGGAGAGAGGAGGTTGTGGTCAGGATGCATTTTATGAGAGAAGAATAAATAAAAAGAAAATAATCTTTTCCAGGTATGGTATATACAAGTATGAAAATGCTATAAAAAGTCTGTTATTTTAAAAAGGCATATATACTTGTAACAAGAAAAAATATTCAAATTCCATGATATTATATGTAAACATTAAAAGAATATCTTCAATGACTCTACATGATCTTAATATTTATACTTAGACACAGACTAACTGTTTCAGAATTCAAGGACCCTAGAGCTCACTCATAGCTTTATATAGATATTTTGACAGAGAAAATATCAATTAGATATTAGATAAAACAGGATATTATATATACATATATACTTCATACATATGTTAACTTATATATCCACAACTTTATGAAAATGCCTATGAATATATAACAAAAACATGTCAAAAAACACATGTTCTGCCTCACCTCTGTTTCTTCACAAGGATGTAGGGAAAAGTTCTGCAGGATTTTGACAATAGCAAGCTTCATGTTAATGAGAGAAAACCTCATGCCAATGCAGTTTCTAGGACCATATCCAAAAGGCAGGTATGTATAAGGATTGATTCTATCTTTATTCTCCTTGCTGAACCTGATATTACAATTGAACGATTAATGAAACATGAATTGCACAAGAGCCACATGTTTACAGTTTTCAGAATCATACAAGTAACTCCAGTATGTTCATTAGTCCAATCAGCATGAGTTAATTCATTTTGAGATTTGCCCCGCCTGCAGGGCTTCAACGGGTTCGATCACCCTAAGGACGGAATGATAGAGACAGGAGATACAAGGAAACACACCAAGTCTAGATTCTGATCAAGGTGCAACTTTATTTTTCTCCAAGAGGGTTTATATAGTTTCTGCAGGGTGGGGGGAGCAAGAAGCTGTCATCTGCATAAGGTGGGGCAAGCTATCAGGATGTTTGTATAGGATGTTTACAGGGTGAAAGGGTCAAGGGCTTTGCCTCAATGTCCTGTTGCTAGGCAACCTGACTGTAAGATGATCTAGTTCCCTGTCTTATGGGGGTCTGTACTTTTCCACTAACTAGAGATTCTATCCTTGTCCCTGACAGAGATTTAAAAGTTGCCGGGCGGTGGTGGCGCACGCCTTTAATCCCAGCACTCGGGAGGCAGAGCCAGGCGGATCTCTGTGAGTTCGAGGCCAGCCTGGACTACCAAGTGAGTTCCAGGAAAGGCACAAAGCTACACAGAGAAACCCTGTCTCGAAAAACCAAAAAAAAAAAAAAAGTTAAAGTTCTTTTTACAAATTTACAGCAAAGGAGCTACTGTAGTTAATAGGATGATTGTGGCCAATGCTCATTGAAATCAAACATGTCTTTACAGCTGACAATATTAAGGATGCCTTGTGTTCCCAGTGTGTGAACATCAGAAAGTAAAATTGAAGAAGGAAGGAATTGCCCTGACCATGACACTTGAGTTGGGGATTTGTTCATTGGAGAATGAGGACATGTATGTTATAAATGAACCCTTAATATTCCATTCTCTCTTCACCATCATCTCCTTCCTTCCTGTCCTTGTTTTATTCTATTCATCCCAATCATTTTCCTCTTCTTCCTCCTCTTCCTCATTAAGTCCCTGTATCTCTCTCCTACAAGAATTATTAAGTGAAATGGTTTTCAAGGACACATGCTGCTTCTCTACTCTGTTATCACTGAATTTTTTTCTCCATCTCCTCCATTAGTGGAAAAACTATTAAAAGTACAGACCTATGTCCAATTAAAATTTGATTTCTCACACAATTATTTATATAAAAATGCTGATTCTGGAAATGTTGTAGAGGGCTAATAACCATCTATTCTCTAAGAGTTATTAAGTATCAAGGAAGATGAAGAAATAATTTCTAAGCTATTTTACAGAACTGCATTGGAGTCTAGTGAAAGTTGTACTGGTATGTGTGTGCAAGGTGAACTTGGTGGAATCCTGTTTGGGAAGATTTTACATACACACACATGGGAAACACTGGCATTCTTCTGTAGACATCTTATGTACTGCATTTGATTAAAACATCAGTATATTCTAACTTTTACATTACTCTTCCATGGTCTAGTCACTGATAACATTGAGTCTATATTATATGATTGAAAGCAGAAGTAACAATAGAGATGCAAAACAAATAAAGTCCAAGTTTGGAGCCACTGAACTAAAGGGGGTGGAAATGATGTCTATATAGAGGGACATAAAATTCACCTAACCAGAAAACAGGAGTTAGGTGACTCCATTCTACTTGTCTAATAAGCACTATACATAGACCATCTGTATGTGACCAGAGACACATGGCTTAGGTTTGTATTCTTATACAAGGCCTTGGGCATCAAGAATTTCATAAAAGATGCTACTACATGTCTAAATTCTTGGCCTCCTGATTCAGCTGCATTTATCTTAAAAATATCATTTTTACATATGTAGCATGATATGGATTGGACAGGTTATTTATAGGAATATGTATGTATATCCACACACCTGTATATGAGCACCTAAGTAACATTTTGTGAAAAAAAGAGGCCATGTACTTGAAGAAATGTGGGGAGGGAGCTATAGGAGAATATGAAGGGAGGAAATGAATGAAAAAATGTTATTCCAAATTATATTCTCAAAACTTAAAAAGATAAGATAAAATAAGATCCTGTATTTTTATTAGTGAGGCAACAATGGTAACCTAGCAACAATTCCCACAGACTGCTTATTACATTCCAATAACAGAATACCCTGATTCAGATTCCAGAAGGATTAAAATAACAACTTTCTAATGAGTAGATTACTTGACTTTGGAGGACTCACCCACTGGATAAGTGTGAGGGAATTTCCTTCACAAAACAGACAGGAATAAGACTAAGGGGAATTATATTAACATTCATCCTCAGTGATGTACCTTAGACCATCTGAGAGGAGGCTTTCTGCCCCTCTACCTGCACCAATGTCTAATACAATGGATTCCTATATTTGGGAAATTATTCCTATATTTTGGGATGAGTCCAGAGTAAAGAAATATAAACTTCACAACTTAAATAAGATAATTGAGTTCCTAATCATGGTAATTGTACTTGCTCTCTTTGAAACACACACACACACACACACACACACACACACACACACACACACACACACACTCAAGCACCTGTCATAAAATAGCAAATATAGGTTATAGAAAGTAACCAGCAATTGTAAAAACATGTGAAAACTGATGATTTTTCTAATATCTAAATATTTACACACACTTCAAAATATTTCCAATAATATCATTATATTAATGGAATTTATATTAAGGTTTTGTAGTAGTTTGAATGAAATTGGCCCCATAGGCTCATAGCGACTGACACTATTGGGAGGTCTGGCCTTTTGTGCTAAATTGTCACTGCTGGTGGGCTTGGAGGTCTCAGAAGATAAGGCCAAGACTATTGTCTTTCTTCTCTCCCTGCTGCCTGCTGATCTGGTTATAGAACTCTCAGTTACTTCCCCAACCCCATGTCTGTCTGCATGCTGCCATGTTTCCTGTCATGATGATAATGGACTAAATAAACCTCTGAAACCATAAGGCAACCCCAAAGAAATATTTTCCTTTATAAGAGTTACCATGGTCATAGTATCTCTGTACAACATTAAAAACCTTAACTAAGACAGGTTTAAGACTCTAAAACAAATTACAAAATATAGAAATGTCATTTTTGGTCCATTAAAATGTCTGTAGTTTTTACAATAATTATCATTTTGTACTACTGGCATTCTAAAATCAAACTTACATACAGCAAGGTAATGCACATTTATATTTAAGTGATTAAAGTAAGAGACATCTTAACATACTGAAAGAAGTCTGGTTATGTGTGTGTTCCCTTTCTCAGGGTTCTTGTACCTTTCAGGACAGAATTCCTCAGACTCTGGCCAGTATTTTGGATCTTGGTGAAGAACAAAGATAGGTATGACCACCTCTGTCCCTTTGGGAATGAACACACCATTGATTTCAGCATCTTTCTTACTGAGCCTGTTAACCCTGGTAGCAATTGTATATATTCTCATACTTTCATTCACCACCATGTCCAGATATTCCATCTCTACCAGTGCTTCATAAGTGGCAGGTGCCTGGGAAAATTAAAAAAAAAGACTTTGCTGGTTTGAGATTTAAAACTAACTTTTATGTCAATCTACACAGTACTATTAAGTTTTTTGGAACTCCACATTCAACCCAGATTAATGATTGTATTTATCATTGATAAGTCTTATTCACCGCACTCATGTATGTTGACATACTAAAGGTCCACTGAAATATATGGTGAAGTAAATATGGAAGAATATTCACATAAGCTTAGACTTTGGTTCCAAATCATCAGTTTTCCTTTGTACTGTTTTCCTTTCAGTAATAATGAAAAGCATATTATGTCAATCTTACTCAACATAAATCAGCTGTTAAGGGTGTCAAAATTAAATATAGGGAATCCACAAGTCCAGACTGAGGAAATATAATGTGTGAAACATTAAATTCCTGTTTAAAATTCTATATCAATCCTTTCAGAGTACAACTCACACTTTTTAAATCCTATGATTAAATTTAATTTATTACTATAGATGTTCAATTTAAAGATCAATGCCATATTAAACAGGAATAGTATATGAACTTAGAGTGATTAACTTCAGTAGAATCTTTTCCCTTTGAAACTCTTCATGGTAAAACAGCCTAGAAATGGAGACGAATTGAGCAAAAAAATTCCTATTCTAGTGAGAGACCCTTTCAGCTCCATGCTAAGTTCCTGAAAGAAACTTTTTCTTGTTACTTCATATGTTGCTCTACTAAATCTTTAACTTTCAAATTCCCACAGGCTAAAGTCACCTGAAAAGGAGGTCTAAAATGAAAGATTAGGGATTGCTAGAATAGATTGGATCATGCATATATCTGGGGGAGTTGTTGCCCTAACTGTTCATTGATGTAGGAGAGTCCAGCAATTTGCAGGTAGTACTGTTTCCTGAGTGGATGACCCTGGGCTGCATGAGAACAACTAGATAATGTTATGTCATTGAGTTGGCCAGATGGCAGTCAGCAACCTTCATAGTTCCTGATGTGCTTCTTTGGCTGTATGTGAATACCTTGGTCAGAAGCAGTGCTGTGTAGAATGGCAGGCATTCCTGCCTACTAGTTCCTGTCTTGAGTTCCTGCATTGACTGTCCTCAGTGATAGCCTGTCATGTGAAAATGTAGGACGAAGTATATGTTTTCCTCCCCATAGTTGTTTTGAGTCATGGCATTTGTCACAGTGACAGAATGAAACAAGAACAGGGGGTGAGCATGAGGTCTGAAGACATTTTGTGTGCATGTCATTGACAATCCAACCATTCCCAGAGTTCAGGTACCTCATACCCCATTGCACTCAGTTTTGGGCATAGATGAGAAGACAGCTTATGTGATGTGTGGCTCTCACATTGTGGGACTCCGACGTTACCATAATGTAGAGGTGAACATTTTAAGTTGAAAGCTGCCATGATGTGCTTTGTTTGAGTCTAATCATGTGACTAGAGAGAGGAGTAATGCAGAGCATAGCTGAATCAGCCTGCCCAGAAAGGACCACACAAAACACTATTGATATCAGCCATGCCAAAGTATTTCCAGTAATAATAACATAGCTATCAGGTCAATTGTTTAAGTTCTAGGGGTATTCCTCAGTGGTTAAGAACACTGTTCTTGCAGAGGACCCAGGTTCAGTTCCCGGTACCCATATGTTGAGCACATATGCTAGAAGTCTAGTTACAGGGAATCTGAGGAAATCTTCTGTCTTCCTTGTGTTTCAGATATGCACATGTTACAGAGATATACATGCAGACAAAACACCCATTTAAAGACACTTGACTGACACTTGATTATCTTTAAAATATCAGAAGAGATTTTATGCATGTTTTTGAACTGTTTCATTGCATATTATAGGATTAATACAGAATTAGAGAGATTAGTTTTTCTCTACACATAATTTTTTCCTTTTTTTAGATTTCCACAGGTTATTGATGAAAGAATCAATTATTACTGTATTTACTGTAATTCTAAATGCAAGTGCAGAAGTAGTGTTTCAGGTTGACATTTTCCCTGAGGCTCCCAGCACCATCCACTCACCTTATTGGGCAGGACTGTATCAATCTCATTCTGAAGTTTCTTCTGAACATTGGGGTAAATCGCCAGTAAGTATGTAGTAAAGGAAAGAGCAGTGCTTGTTGTCTCATAGCCAGCAAAAAAAATGTGATTGATTGGGCCAGGATCTCCAGATCAGAAAGAGCTGAATTGAAATTAGACATTTTTTGTCAATGATCAAAGCTGGTGCCTACACAGAGTCTTCACCTGCTTTGTTCTATCATCTTTGGTGCAGGAGGATACACTGCACTTTATGTACAATGGTGTACTGCCTGCAAGATATGCAAGGACTATGGTGGCACAATACATGTGGGAGTAACCAACCAATAACTGATTTGACTTATGACATACTCCATGAGATGGAACTAAAATTGGCACTGATTCGATGACCAAGAATGTGCAACTACATATCCCAGGGACCAAGGACAAAACCAAATAATACTGTTGTAAAAAGAAAAAAAAGAAATGAATGGATAAAATGACTCCTAATGATATTCTGTTTTACTTGTAGATAAGAGCCTTGCTCAGTCATCATGAGAGAAGACTCCTCCTGCAGCAGATGGGAACAAATGTAGAGAACGACAACCAGACAATAGGCAGATAGTGAGAGCATTTGGAACACTCAGTCCTAAGTGGGATATCTCCACCAAATCCCTCTCCTCAGAGCCCAGGGAATACCACAGAAAAGGAGTCAGGAAGACTTATGAGGCAGTGGGGATGAGAATACCAAGAACACCAAGAATACAACACACCAAATCATCATGATGAAATGTCATATGAACACCCAGGGACTGAAGAAGCATGAATAGGGCCTTTGCAGGTATCTACCGGGTCCTCTGTGTATGTATTATGGCTCCCAGTGTTTTTATGGTACTCTTGCATGTGCAAATGAGTGGGTCTCTGATTCTTGTATCTTCCCTTTAGACTCTTTTCTTCTGTTAGCTTTTCTTCCTCAGCTTTGATATATTAGTTTTTATCTTTTTATATTTTATTTTGTTACATTAGAAAATGAAAGAATAAATGAAAACCTAGTCACTGGAGAAAAGAGTAAAAACTGTCTTTTATATGTTTTGGGAGAGAGAAAATCAGGTTTCTTTCCAAATGGAGTGACACTGGGAATATCAACCACTCCAGGACAGGCCTCATTTTATTTCCCCAATATATTATATTGTGGGCTCCACAGTTTGTGTGTGTGTGTGTGTGTGTGTGTGTGTGTGTGTGTGTGTGTGTGTGTGTGTGTGTTTATTTAGTTACATTTCAGTGTTTGTTTTGGGTACTGTTTTATATTTTTCCTTGGTTTTGGGTAATTTTCTGTTGTGTTGGGCTTTTGTTTGCTTTTGAAAAAGAACTTAATGTTCACTGGGTGGAGGGATCCTGAAGGACTTTGGGGAGGGGAAGAATATGATCAAAATATATTTAAATTAAAAAAACTGTATAATAATAGAAAATAACAAAAAATTGGGCATTGACTTCAAATGTGGGGATAATTATGGAATTAATTAATTGTAATTTCCAAAACACACATTGTAGTACCAATGTATGGCAAGAAGCATTACTCTGCAATAAACAGTGAGTAAAAGAATGAATAGGAAATATAAACACTGTGATTTTTCTCCTTTAATGTGCTATGTTATTGTGAAAGTAAAAATAATTTTCCACAGTCCCATAAGCTGGTGAACACACTTCCAATGAATAACCATAGTGAATTTTGCTATTTGGACACTGTGCTTCCTGATTGGGTCCTCTGGATGCAGATTTGTAAGTAGAGGTTCTGATTCATTGGCCCTGCCTGAGACTATGAATCAGCATTTGACTGGTACAGCTGATCCACACATCAATGAAGACTCTTAGAGTGTAAAAGCAATGCTCATAACAGACCTTCAGATTTTGAAAAGTTTAATTAAAATATAATTATTTCACTACTGTCTTTCTCTCCTTCCTCCTAGCCTCCCATGTCACACCTCCACTCACTCTCAAATTTACGGCCTTATCTTTAAGTATTTTTATTACATATAAAAATAAATACTCACAAATATAACATACTGAATCTACTCAGTTTTGCCTACTTGTACCTGTTTCTGGGTTGGCAACTTAGTATTGGATAAACAATCAGGGACTCATCCCTTGGGAAGACTAATTATCTCTCTCTCAGATGACCTGAACTACCTGCAACTCTTCATCTAAGGTTGGGTTCTTATGAAATTTTCCCCATCTATGTTGAAATGTCAACTCCTATTGGGTTAATTTAGGTTAGGTAGCCATGTTGGTGAGATTTCATGGTTGTAGCTTCCCAGTCACAGAGGGAAGGTACAATAAACATAATGTATTCTGTATGCATATACACCATGATTTTAGAAAGTGCCTCAGTCTGCTGCCTATAACAGCATGTCTGTGTCTTTTTGTGAATTAGCAGGAAGCTTTTTCTGCTTGAATGACCCCTTTACATTTCAAGAATCAGCCCCTCCCTCTGTGCATTCCCTTTAGACCCTAAATTATCTGTAGTTACGTTTATGGGACTCCATGTCCTTGGAATTCTGAGAGTCTATCATCAGCTGAAGAAAATCCACTCGGTGCTGAAAGGAGACAGAAAATTTAAAAGCAGAAAGTGGGTTGGCAGGCCAAAAATAAGGATGAAATTTAGAAGTTTACCTCTCATGAGAGGAAATAGCTCATTTAAGAGTTCAGCTAATGTTGTCTGAATTACTAGTAACACAAACACTGATCCATAGATTTTGGGGAACAAAATGTTCATGAGTCCAGTAGTGATGGTACACACTTTCATACCAGCACTTTAGGAGGCAGGCTAATCTTTGAGTTTGAGTCCAGCCTGGTCTATAAAATGGGTTCCAGGATAGCCAGGGTTACTCTGACAGACCTTGTCGTGGAAAAAATATTTGTTTTAAGTAAGTCTGTCAGGGTAGTGTATCATGCTGCCATGTCCAACACCATTTCTCATTGCTTTCCCTCATTCTAAGCACCTGTAGCTATTGAGGACAGACGCCTGGCTGGATGGTTGCAGTTTTTCTCCTTGACATATTGCTAACCAATATCTCATACTCATCAACTGGTGTTTCTGGAACTGATTGCTA